AAGGGCAGGCTAGCCCAGGAGTCCAGGTGTGAACCACGGCAATTGAGGAACAGGCCCAAACCTCAGGACCCCAACTCTCCCCGTGGGTTACCAACCCAAAAGTCACCAAAGCGAGGTTGGCTGAATCACGCCCCAAAGGCACCTACATCCAATCGCCAAGGCCTGGTGAATGTTCCTACAGGACAAAGACGCTACAGCTGGAGCTGAATTAAGATCTGGGATGACCCAGTGATAACCCAAGTGTAAAGAGCATAGAGGGTCAGAGACAGAGAAACCATGTGAAAAGATTTGGAGAACGCAACACTGCGGCTTCATAGACAGAAGAAGGCGACAATGCAACGCAGTGGCCTCTGAGGAGCGGAAAAGACCAGAGATGTTTTGTCCCCTGGACCTCCAGAAGACAATCCCAACCCCACCGTCATTTGTTTTTTTTTGAGATCCGGAGCTCGGCTCTGTCTGCCCAGGCTGGGAGTGCAGTGTGCCATGTCTCAGCTACTGCAAGTCCCTCCCGTTTGTGTACGCCAGTTCTCCTGCCTAGCCTCCCGGTAGTGGACTACAGGCGCCCGCACCTCGGCCCGGGCTAGTGTTTGTGTACCGTTTTTTTAGTAGAGATGGGGTTTCACCGTGTTAGCCAGGATGTCTCAATCCCACCTCTGTGGATTCCACCCGTCTCGGCCTGTTCCCACAAGTGCGATTACAGGCTTGAGCCACCGGCCCAGCCCGCACCTTCGACTTTAACCCAGGGAGACTGATTGTGGACACGACCCCAGATTGACGTTTCTGGAGGTCAGAAAATCTGTGTCAGACACTAAGGCTTGTGGGTCATTATGTCACAGCCAACATTAGGAACAAACACACTCCAGCATGCTCCCGCTGTCGGCAGTCCACTCCCAGCAGGGACGGCTGCAGCGGCTGAGCACTGCCCAACGCCAGGCACTGCTGGGTGCGCCAGATGGGGATTCACTCCCTTCCTCCTTGTAACAACCTCATGAGGTGGCTGCTGTTATGACTCCCCTGTTACACGTAAGAAGGGTGAGACAGAGAGGGAGGCCACCAGCCCACAGCTGCCCCACTAGTGAGCTGCAGAGCCAGGACCTGCCCGGGCCGCCTGGTGCCAGAGCCCACCCTCTGCACCACTACAGCTCACCAACCCCACCAAAACCCTGGGGCAGTGCCACCCCCACTTCAGAGACCTTCCCGCTGGAAACTTACAAGACCTCTGTGATTAACCTATTTTTAATTCCAACAAAGTGAGAACAGCACGCGATCATCAGTACCGACCGCAAACCCAAAACCCCCAGCACAACGCCACCCAGTGTGTTCCCCAAAACCATCCTACTCTCACCAGGGAACGCCACCCAACGTCTCCCCCCGAAACCATCCTACTCTCTCCAGGGAACGCCACCCAACGTCTCCCCCAAAACCATCCTACTCTCCCCAGGGAACACCACCCAACGTGCTCCCCGAAACCATCCTACTCTCTCCAGGGAACGCCACCCAACGTCTCCCCCAAAACCATCCTACTCTCTCCAGGGAACGCCACCCAACATCTCCCCCAAAACCATCCTACTCTCTCCAGGGAACGTCACCCAGCGTCTCCCCCAAAACCATCCCACTCTCACCAAGGAACGCCACCCAACATAATCCCCGAAACCATCCTACTCTCACCAGGCACACAACGGGGTCCCTGTCCAAGGGCACAGTTCCAAACTTCCTCCACCCAAAGGCTTTCCCGAGGACGAAGACCTTTAAGGACATCTCGAGAACCTCTCCTTGGAAGAAGCCACTGAATAAGCGTCCTCCCACGCCTGTCCTCCCTGCTCCTAGGGAGGTTCTCATGGCAGTGGCTGTTGCCATCATGCCGGCGCAGCAGGGAACCCTGGCTGTGGCTGCACACTCCATGGAGCCAGTGGGAGCCCCGCCCCTCTGAGTTGGAGAGGTCACTGCAGCCCAGACAGCCCAGACCCAGGCCTCCTGCTCCAGGAGGGCGGGGCTACAGCCGCCCAAACTGCAGTAGCTGTGGATCTGAGCCTTCCCGTGCTCTTAGGGGAGCCGGGAACAGGCAGGATCTGCCGTCCCGGGTGCAGCTGCAGCTGCCAGACCTGTGGCTGCAGACCTGGGCTTCCTGCTCCACGAAGCAGGCAGGAGCCGGGAACAAGCGGGAGCTCGGCCTCTTCTGAGGTGGTGGGGCGGGAGCTCCTGGGTGCAGCTGTAGCTGCCCTCCCACTCTGCAGCCCGTACTCTCAGGTGCCCCAGGAAGGACAACCCCCCACCATCCTTGAAGGCTCACGGTGTCTGCTTCCACTGCCTGGACTCTCTCGGCTCCCAGCACCCACTCCGACCTCGGAGTGGGATTGTGGCCAAGCCCCGGGGCCATGAGTGGCAGCAGGAGGCAGACAAGAGTCCTGGGTGGAAGAGGACGGTGGAAGGACAGGGAGGGCCTGGGGACTGAGCTGCCAGACCTGTGGACCAGAGTGAGAACTCATGGTGCCTCTTCCAGGCCCGCCCATGGCCACCCGAGGACCAATTGGCATGTACTTCCTTCCCTCTGAGGTCCATAAAAGCCCTAGGCTCAGTCAGAGGAGGCGAGAGGACGGCCAGAGGACAGAGAGGGCAGAGAGACAATCACAGGGCACAGAGGAGCGAGACTGCAGAGATGTCGGAATGACGTGCCTGCAGACAAGAGCCGCCCTCTCCAGGGCTTCCTCTCTGCTGACAGCTGAACACTGGACAGGATGACCTGCCTACAGAGAGGAGCGGGCAGCTCTGAGCTGTTCTAACACTAAATAAAACTCTTCTTCACCCTTCCCTTATCTGCATACCTCACTCTTTCTGGATGCAGGACAATAACTAGGGCAAAGGTGCTGTGGCCACAGAGGTTTCCAGCCAGAAAAATCGACACCCGGAGATCCTGTAACATTTCCACTGTAGATCCCCACGTGTCTCCCGTCAGGACAATCTCTCAGAGCACCTTTCCCCAGCACTCCCCTTTCTTCCACCGTCTTTATTTCCAACATCTTCCTCCCAAAGCTCACTCTCAAGCAGTATTTTTGACACCTCTCTCTACATATCCACCAACTCCTGCGCCGCCCACTCCCCTTTGATGAGATTCTACTCCACAGGCTTTCTTGCACATCTTTTTCTGGTCCTCAGAAACAGTGAAAGTTCTGAGTTCATTGCTTCTACACACCCACAGTGAAATAGAGAAGTGCTTCAAAAGGCAACAGAAATCAGAAGAAACCAATCTTCCCCCAGTGGAAGTAAGGGCCAGGATGCAGGAGTCTTGAAGTGTTTCGTTCCTCAGGGACAACTTTCTGAACAGGGACTTGTCCAAAGACAGCCCACGTGCCAGGGCCTGTTCACAGGCCTCGTGTAAGGGCAGTCAAGGGATACCATGCAGAGGGTTCATGTGGAGGGAGGGCACACCTACCACACCCAGGCGGGAGTGGCCCAGACAGAGGGGCCAGCGAGGCCTGTGTGGCTGGAGCAGTGAGCGCAGGGTAGTACAGGGAGGGGTGAGAGGGGGCCAGGGGTGGACAGCACTTTCTCCACCAGGACAGCCTGGGCCAGGCCACTGCATCAGGGCTCAGGTGTCTCCACAGGGCAGAATTGTGGTTTGCTGCGTCTCTGCCCTGGATGCCCTCCATCCAGGGATGTGTCTACAGATTGAAGACTAAAGAACCTAAGAACCCACATCCATCCAGAGGCCAGTTAGCCCAGCCCACGGCTCTCACGGCACTCTACCATCAAACTTGCCTGGTTCGTGAGGGGCTATTCAACTCAACAAGCAGGGATGGAGCACCAGAAACGTGCCAGGCCCTGTGTCCAGTTCTGAGGCTACAAAGATGAAGGTGATGCGACCCCACCCTCAGGGAGCACATGACCTCACAGATCTGACGTCCAGATGAATGAATGCTGTAAGACGGGGTAGGAGCGGTGCCGAGAAACACGCCGAGGCGGCACCGCAGGGGCTCCTGGTGAGCCTGGGGCTTCTGGCTGAGCCTGGAAGGACTGCATCAACAGGTGGCGAGCAGGGGCAGAGAAAGGCACGTGCGGCAAAGGGGTCTTACTTGTGAGAGACTACGGTGGGGGGCAGTTGCTTGTGATCGCCCGCCAGGATGCACTTTCTGGCCTTCAGCAGGGGGATCCAGCAGCTCGCCTCAAGGGCCTGGGCACACTCATCAATGACCACCACGTCGAAGTGGCTCTCGGGCAGCAACTTCAGGGGGCCGTCGGCAGACGCACCTGGTGGAAACAGGGAGCCAGGAGTCTCCAGGGGCACGGCTGCTTCCCAACAGCTGCAGCCACACCAGAGGAGACACCACCAAGCCGGGGTTTCATCCAGGCTTGTATTACAACTGTGTGGGATACATTTGTATCTTGTAATAAAAACTTGGCCAAGACATTTTAGAACTCATGGTTCCAGCTCACCTGTGTTTTAAGCAGTGGGTCCTCTGGCCACAGGCCCTTCTGACCTTCAATCGGCAAAATTAATCACCCTTCGGGGCTGCGACCCCAAGCCCAAGGGACGCTGTCTGAGTTCTAAATATTGTAACTCAATTATTTTCTAAATGTAGAACCTAATTCTCCTCTAAGGTGACTTTCTTGGACATACAGAACAATCAACTGCTGGCCGCTCACCCAGAGAAAAGCCTCCACGCATCTGGCAACACAAATCCACTGTGGCAGCTTTTCCTTGCTGGGACGTGGAGCGGCAGAGTGCAGAGTTCAGCTGGTGAGCAGGACTCGTGCCCACGCCATCTCCAGCAAACAGCGAGGGGCCCTAGGCGAGCCTCCCACCCCCAAGCCTGTTTCCTCATCCACAAACACGGACAACGGCTGCATGTCATGCGACTGCACCACAAAGGACAACATATATAAAGTGCCCAGCACGAGAAGGCAGGTTTCCACAAATGTGATCGATGTTAGTTCCCACCCTGTCTGTCTTCCATCTGAGTGAATTATGCTAATGATATGTACATAATGCCATGATGAAGACAGACACTGAGAAATTTCTGAAGACTGACTCTCCAGAGATGGCTAGCAAAAGCACCCACAGGGGAGACAGAACTTGACTGGGCTTTGGGTAATTGAGAGACATGTTTAGGTCACAGACATGACTTCAGAGTCCAGAGAGAAACCAGACTTCGTGACGGAGAAGCACTTCCAGGAATTCACTCTAGCTCCCCAACAACCAGGAGGGAACAGAAAGGCCACACAGGCCACAAGCTGACCTTGTGGGGCTCTGGGGGTGCCTCCTGATTTCCAGCAAGTGCTGTCCTTGAAGCCAGAGAAGGATGTCAGCAAAGAGATTCTCACAAGCTCTGAGAATTCTCTCCTCCACGAAAGCAACACGACATCGGCAAATGGTCAGAATCAACTTTCTCAGAACTCTGGAAACTCGCCAAAGGCTTGCAGCAATCAGGGAAATGTTCATTCCAGAAAAGCGTTTGAATCCCCGTCAGCACGGGAGCTCCATGACACTGAAACCTGCCCTATTCCCAGCCATCCCTCCCCATCCTATGGCAGCCTTGAAACCCTCAGCCTGAAGTCAGGGTGAAAATCAGCACTTGGCAGCCCCGGGGGTGCAGAACAGGGGTGGCATTCTTGCAAATCCCCACTCCTGAAACTGTGCTTATCTTATCTGTCTGGGAATCCTCTGGTAGACCACACTCAAAAGACTTTATCTGAGCTCATGTGATGCAAACAGCCTTTTCCCTGGTGGTGTCTGTCAAAAACAACCAGAGGTAGCTGCTGAACATCATAGTTTTCTAAGAAAGGAAATAATGGTTGGAGCAAATGATAGGATAACCAAACAAAGTTTTAAGCTGGGGAATGAGATATCCTCAGGGGGCTTTGAAAAGCTCCAACATATTCCTGGGAATCTAGAAGACCACACACATGCACAGGGCTCACGAAAGACCTCAGGAGGCCCTCAGCTCTCACCTGTGGCTCAGCTCAAGGCACTGCACAAACAGGAAGTGAAAGCTGAGGGTCACTAACAGCCCGGCTCTGTGGTGGGGGGTATGCTCAAGCACACACACAGAGCCACTCAGCAAAGACTGGGGCATTTATGGCTCCAGGAGTTCAGGAGGATTTCTGTCTAATCACTAGCTGGCCACTAAGCTATATTAGATTTTAGTGGCCACAAAAGACAAAAAATACAGATTTTACAGAATTAGTCCAGAAAAGTCGCTAAACAAATAACAAGTGGCAATAACAACAAACCCTGCGGTGGGAAGAGAACCTGACTTCCAGAGTTGCCACACTCTATTAGTTAAATGATTCATTTTCAACAAGAAACTACAAGGCACGTAGAGAGTCATCAAAATATGGCCAATATACAGGGGAAAAAAGGCAATCAACAGATACTTGAGGCCAGGAGTGGTGGCTTATGCCTGTAATCCCAGCACTTTGGGAGGCAGAGGTTGGTGGATCACCTGAATCAGGAGTCTGAGACCTGCCTGGCCAACATGGTGACCCCATCTCTACTAAAAATACAAAACTTAGCCAGGCGAGGTAGCAGACGCCTGTAATCCCAACTACTCGGGAGGCTAAGGCAGGAGAATCACTTGAACTCAGGAGATGGAGGCTGCAGCAGGCTGAGATCACACTATGGCACTCCAGCCTGAGCAACAGAGTGAGACTCCATCTCCAAAAAATTAAATAAATAAATACACCGGATACTTGAGAAAGCCCAGATGCTGATCTTACTAGACAAAGACTTGAAATATCAGCAATTCTAAGTATGTTCAAACAGCAAAAGGGAACCAAGTCTAAAGAAATAAAGTATGAGAATACTGTCTCACCAAATAAGAGAACATCAATAAAGAGACAGGAATAATTTTTTAAGAAGTACCACACAGAGGCCGGCATGGTGGCTCATGCCTGTAATCCCAGCACTTTGGGAGGCTGAGGTGGGCAGATCATGAGGTCAAGAGATAGAGACCATCGTGGCCAACGTGGTGAAACCCCGTCTCACTAAAAATACAACAATTAGCTGGGCGTGGTGGCACACGCCTGTAGACCCAGCTACTCAGGAGGCTGAGGCAGGAGAATTGTTTGAACCTGGGAGGCAGAGGTTGCAGTGGGCTGAGATCACGCCACTGCACTCCAGTCTGGTGACAGAGCAAGTCTCCATCTTAAAAAAAAAAAAAAAAGTACCGCACAGAAATTCTGGAGTTGAAAAGTATAACTGAAATTCACTAGAAGGATTCAACAGGACAGAATGATCAGCAAACATGAAGAGAGATCATTGAGAAGATCCAGCCTGAAGATCAGAAAAAAAAAAAAAATGGAGGAAAATGAATAGAGCTTCAGACACCTGTGGGGCACTATCAAGTGAATCAACGGATTCATAATGGGAGTTCTAGACGGAGTGGACAGTAGAATAAGGGCAGAAAGAATACCTGAAAAAATAATGGCTGAAAACTCCCCAAATTTGATGAAAAACATGAATCTAAACATCCAAGAAGCTCCACAAACTCCACGTAATTTACTCACAGAGATCCACACCTAACACATCATAATCACACCCTCAAAAGACAAAAGACAACACTTGAAAGCAGCAATAGAGTAGCAACCTGTCACATATAAGGAGCCCTCAATGAGAGCAATAGCTGCTTTCCCATCAGAGACTGTGCAGGCAGTGGAATGGCACGTTCAAAGGGCTGGAAAAAAAAAACTGTCAACCAAGAATTCTATACCCAGCAAGACTATCCTTCAAAAATGAAGGAGAAACTAAGACATGTCCAGATAAAGATGAGCTTAGAGAATCTGCCACAGCAAACCTGCCCTTCAAGAAACACCAAAGCAAGTCCCTTGGAGATAGTAACTCAAATCTACGTGAAGAAATAAAGGCAACTATACATGGGTAAATATAAAAGACCCCATAAATGTATTTTCTGCTTGTGACTCTTTTTCTCCTGTCTGATTTAAAATACAACTAGATAAAGCAATAACTATAAAGCCAATTAGAACCTAGCCAGGTGTGGTGGCTCACTCCTGTAATCCCAGCACTTTGGGAGGCCAAGGTGCGCAGATCATTTGAGGTCAGAAGTTCGAGACCAGCCTGGCCAACATGGTGAAATCCCGTCTCTACAAAAAAATACAAAAAAAAAAAATTAGCTGGGCATGATGGCATGTGCCTCCAATTCCAGCTTCTCAGGAGGCTGAGGCACAAGAATCACCTGAAACCGGGAGGCAGAGGCTGCAGTGAACCAAGATTGTACCACTGCTCTCCAGCCTGGGTAACAGAGTGAGACGCTGTCTCAAAAAAAAAAAAAAAGAACCTGGACTCTGTTCCTTAGAGCAGTCCAACAGCTGAGAGGTTGTAGCAAACAGACTCTAAGGCAGGGATATGCAATCTTTTGGCTTCCCAGGGTCATATTAAAAGAAGAATTGTCTTGGGCTACACATAAAATATGCTAACATTAACAATAGCTGATGAGCTTTAAAAAAAAAAAAATCACACACACACAAATCTCATAATGTTTTAAGAAAGTTTACAAATTTGTGTTGGGCCACATTCAAAGTATCCTGGGCTGCATGCGGCCTGCAGGCCTTCGGTTGGACAAGCTTGCTTTAAGGTATGCCCCAGGATCCTGGCCACTGGTATTCACATCTTGCATATAATCCCTTCCCCTCGAGTATGGGTGGGGCCTGAGACTTGCTTCTAATCCACAGAATAGGGCAAAGGTGATGAGATGTGGCATCCTCAATAACATTACATTAAGACGATAACCCACTGTGCTAGGAGACTGTGTCTCTTGCTGGCTTTTAGGAAGCAAGCAGCCACGTTGGCAAGGCCTACGGGGCAGGCAGCTAAGAGCGGCCTCCAGCCAACACCCAGCAAGAACCCACAGGGAACTGAATGCTGCCAACAACCACATGAGCCTGAAGGCAGATCCTTTCCAGGCAAGTTTCAGATGAGACTGCAGCCCCCACTGACACCTGGATCGCAGCCTCATGAGATTCTGAGCCGAGCACCACGTTCAGCCGGGCCTGGGCTCTCCGCCCAGAAAAACTGTAGAATAATAAACATGGGTTGTTTTCAGCTGCTACCTTTGTGGTACTATTATCACACAGGAACAACCCAGAGGTCTCACAAACACATTCCTAAACCCAAAAGGGCAGCTGACAAGATTCCCACAACAGTTACAAGGCGCGCGGCTCTGTAACAGGAGTGCTCTCTCCCAGCTACGAGAGTGTGTGTCCTCCACCTCTGCCCTGGATGGAGCAGCAGGGACTGCATTTACTCTCCCATCTCAAATAACACCCCCTGCCCCCACCAGCTATTTAACATTTTTTTAAATAACCGAAACCACACCCTTCAGGACACTAGACAACAGGTAACAAAGAAAAGTAACCCCTGACTAACGACAGACAAAGGAGGTGAGCCCTGGAGTTGCCCCCGTTTTCTGCCTCGCGTTTCCAGGAGAGAGTACAGAGAAGGGGCAGCCAGGTGGAGCCTAGAAGGCTCCCTGAGTTGAGCAGACAAGGCTGAGCATCTGTGGAGACCAATGCAGGCAGAGTTTCCAGGACAAAATGCCAAAGAGATTTCTACACAGAGAGGAAAAACCCCAGCGATCTGCAGACAGGCTCCCTCGGGTATTGTGATTAGCACATGCTTACAAGAAAACTACTCCAAGCCTGGGAAAAATACCATCCAAAACAATGAGAGAAAAGTGCCCAGTGCTCACACGAGGCTGGGAACAGCACCTAATCCCATGAGTCAGACTCGAAAATCTCATGATGCAGGGTGTACTGGGGAGAAAACTCAAAGGGTCTCACCTAGGTACAGGGGAATATTAACCCTGGACTAAGCACTGATCCAGACCCTAACACATCTCAAAAGTTAAAACTCAAAAGGTTAAACTGTTTACAAGCAAATTTACTGCTTCCTAAAACCAAGCGCAAGAATATTATAGGAGACTGGGCGTGGTGGCTCACACCAATGCCAGCACTTTGGGAGGCCGAGGCAGGCAGATCACTTGAGGTCAGGACTTTGAGACCAGCCTGGCTAACATGGTGAAACCTCACCTCTACTAAAAATACAAAAATTAGCCAAGCATGGTAGTGCACGCCTGTAGTCAGAGCTACACTAGAGACTGAGTTAAGAGAATCACTTGAATCCAGGAGGCGGAGGTTGCAGTGAGCCAAGATTGCACCACTGCACTCCAGCCTGGGTGACAGAGCAAGACACTCTCTCTCAAAAAAAAAAAAAAAAAACTTAGCAATACAAAAATATTCAATACTCAGCATGCAACAACATAAAATCCCCAATGTCCGGTATCCAAACAAACATTAGCAGGCCGGCAAAAAGGTAGGAAAACACAACCACTCGAGGGGAACAGTTCATTGAAAGAGACCAAAAATGACACAGGCGATAGAAATAATAGTCTAGAACATTCAAAAGAGTTATTATAGTTATATTCCAAATGTTAAAAAATTAAGTAAAAACGTCAAAGATATAAAAAGACTCAAATCTTATTTCTGGATGTCAGATGAAAGTTACACTGGATGGGACAGATGTTAGATTAGGCATGAAAGAAGGAAACGAGTGAACTCAGAAACACAGCAATAAGCAGGTATAAAGGTTCAGCTGTACAAGATAAATTCTACAGATCCGCTGCACAACACGATGCCTGTAGTTAACAATATTATATTGTATACTTAAACATTTAAGAGGGTAGATCTCATGTTGTGTTCTCACCACAATTTTAAAAAACATGAGGCCGGGCACAGTGGCTCACGCCTGTAATCCCACTACTCTAGGAGGCCGAGGCAGGCGGATCATGAGGTCAGGAGTTTGAGACCAGCCTGGCCAATATGGTGAAACCCCGTCTCTACTAAAAATACAAAAATTAGCCAGGTGTGGTGGCACGTGCCTGTAATCCCAGCTACTCGGGAGGCTGAGGCAGGAGAATCGCTTGAACCTGGGAGGCAGAGGTTGCAGTGAGCTGAGATAGCACCACTGCACTCCAGCCTGGGTAACAGAGTGAGACTCTGCCTCAAAAAAAAAAAACAAAACAAAAAACCAACCAACCATGAAGCAAATAGCACCAGGGCAAATTGTAGTCAAATTGCTTAAAACCAGTAATAAAGAAAGCATCATTTTCTTTTTTGTTTTTGAGATGGAGTCTGGCTCTGTCATCCAGGCTGGAGTGCAGTGGTGCAATCTGAGCTCACTGCAATCCCCGCCTCCAGATTCAACCGATTCTCCTGCCTCAGCATCTGGGATTACAGGCACCCGCCACCACGCCTGGTTAATTTTTTTTATACTTTTAGTAGAGACAGGGTTTCACCATCTGGGCCAGGCTGGTCTTGGACTCCTGACCTCAGGTGATCCACCCACATTGGCATCCCAAAGTGCTGCGATTACAGGTGTGAGCCACTGCACCTGGCAGAGACCTTGTCTCTTAAAATACATATACATGTATATATAAAATCTAAATAAAAAAAAAAAAATCCTCCAGCCGGAAGAGCAGGGAAAAAAAGAACACACAAACCAGTATCAGGAATAATACAGGTTATATCATGACAGATTCTGCAGATAGTAAAAGAATAAGGGCATATTAGGAACCACTTCATGCCTCTAAATTCAACAATTTAGATGAAATGGACAAACTTCTTGAAAGCTACCAGCTCATGGAAGAAGAGAACCTGAACAGCCCTTTATCTGTTGAAGAAGTTGAATTTGTAGTTAAAAACCTCTCTATGAAGAAAATTCCAGATACGAAGGGCTTCACTAGTGAACTCTACCCAACTTTTAAAGAAATACCAATTCTAAACAAACTCTTCCGGAAAACAGAAGAGGGAACACACCCCAACTCCTTTTCCGAGGCCACACGGGCAGGATGGAGATGCCCCCTCACCTGTGTTTGTTGCAAGGACCACGTTTGCCGAAGTGAGGCTCTCGAGTATAGCTGCTTCTTCCCTCCCCTTCAGTTCTTTTCTTAACAGCTTAACTTCATTTCGAAAATTACTTTTTTCTCTCTTATCCTGGGTCTTTTTGTTTTTCACCTATAAAGAAAAACAAAGAAGATACACTCACTTCAATCCAACTTTATACTTCTTCAACTCTATTTATGAAGTGCTTCTATTTACATCATTTGGTCTAGTTCAATAAGCTCCTTAAAAAACACTCAGAAATTTTCCTTGAAAAAGACACACATACACACACACAACTAAGCACCTTACATCCTTACTTGCCTTGAAGTCACAGGAACGGACATTTTAAGTCCTGGAAAAAGACCACGTTTTTAACTCCGAGGAGACCAGAAATTGGAGCAGCCCTGCCCTGCACAGAGGCATTTGATCCTGGGGAAGAAACAGTGCCTGCCCACCTCAGGATCTGGGATGTAGGAGCTTACGAATGGAAGAGCTTCACATATTATTCCTTTTTTTTTTTTTTTTGAGACGGAGTCTTGCTCTGTCACCCAGGCTGGAGTACAGTGGCCAGATCTCAGCTCACTGCAAGCTCTGCCTCCCGGGTTCACACCATTCTCCTGCCTCAGCCTCCCGAGTAGCTGGGACTACAGGCGCCCGCCACCTCGCCCGGCTAGTTTTTTGTATTTTTTAGTAGAGATGGGGTTTCACCGTGTTAGCCAGGATGGTCTTGATCTCCTGACCTTGTGATCCGCCCATCTCGGCCTCCCAAAGTGCTGGGATTACAGGCTTGAGCCACCGCGCTCAGCCCTTCACATATTATTCTACATTTTTCAAGAGATTAAAAAAAATATTCAACCCATAATCAAAACCTCACCTTACTTTAATATCTCAAAAAGATGGAACTGGCTGGACGTGGTGGCTCATGCCTGTAATCCCAGCATTTTGGGAGGCTGAGGCAGGCGGATCACGAGGTCAGGAGATTGAGACCATCCTGGTTAACACAGTGAAACCCCATCTCTACTAAAAATGCAAAAAATTAGCCAGGCATGGTGGCACGTGCCTGTAGTCCCAGCTACTCGGGAGGCTGAGGCAGGAGAATTGCTTGAACCCAGGAGGCGGAAGTTGCAGTGAGCTGAGATCATGCCACTGCACTCCAGCCTGGGTGACAGAGTAAGATTGTTTTAAAAAAAAAAAAAATGTAACCTTTCGTTATTTGTGATTTCTACTTTGGGGGATGGAGTTTTAGCAGGGGTGATAGAAAGTGTTTTATTGTGCATAATTTACAGAGAAAGAAAATCCCCAAAAGCACCAATTTCATCAGGAAATGAAATCACCTACATTCGTGATGAGCAAACAACATCACGCATATTCCTCCGCCACCCCAAACCTGCGTGACATGCATCTATCCTTCCTCCACCTCCCAGTAGGTGGCCCATCCCCACGCTGCCACCCAGGCAGCCTCGACGCCACAGGCCCATAGCAAACACTGGCCCCCAGGACCCTCCCTGCTGCCGCCACTCCTCTGAGGGTAGGACACTGAGGGGTGCAGGTGCCGACCGTGAGCACACAGGACAGGACATAAGCACAGACATTACAGCAAAGACTGGCTCCCAGCACCCTGCCTGCTGCCATCACTCCTCCGGGGCTAGAGTATCGAGGGGTGCAGGTGCTGACAGTGAGCAGACAGGACAAGACGTGAGCACAGACACTACAGCAAAGTGTACATGGGAGAACCAAAGAGCTTAGAAGTGTTGGGCTGGGAGGAAAAGGCCCACTCAAACGGAATGAACCCACCACCGCTCTACTTCTCCAGTCGACTGGCATCCTCTTTCACAAGGAGGAGGTGAAAGGTGAAATGAACGGAAAGCACTAGGAGGATGCCAGTTTTTTCAATGTTTATTTTCAAGCTACGTTTCTCCCATTGCCACTACTAGGAAGATAACAGGACCAGACAGAAAGACACCCAGGAAAATGTTTGCTTGTTGTTTTTTTTTTTGAGATGGAGTCTTGCTCTGTCACCGAGGCTGCAGTGCAGTGGAGTGACCATGGCTCACTGCAACCTCTACCTCCCAGGTTCAAGAGATTGTCCTGCCTCAGCCTCCCAAGTAGCTGGGACTACAGGTGCCCGCCACCATGCCCAGCTAATTTTTGTATTTTTAGTAGAGACAAGGTTTCACCATGTGGGCCAGGCTGGTCTCAAACTCCTGCCCTCAACTGATCTGCCCACCTTGGCCTCCCAAAGTGCTGAGATTGCAGGCATAAGCCACTGCGTCCGGCTGGAAAATGTTTTCTTTACAATTCCTCACACCTATTAACCAAGTGCTCTGAAGACAGTTGAGTCTCTGTTAAATGCTAAGTATAATTCTCTATCAAAAATGGGCAGCCCTGGCCAGGTGAAGTGGTTCACACCTGTAATCCAGCACTTTGTGAGGCTGAGGCGGGTGGATCACTTAAGGTCAGGAGTTCGAGACCAGCCTGGCCCACAGGCGAAACTCCGTCTCTACTAAAAATTTAAAAATTAGCTGGGTGTGGTGGCACATGCCTGTAGTCCCAGCTACTTGGGATGGTGAGGTGAACCCAGGAAACAGAGGCTGCAGTGAGCCAAGACAGCGCCACTGCACTCTAGCCTGGGTGACAGAGCGAGACCCCATCTCAAAAAAAAAAAAAAAAAAGGTCAGGTGTGGTGGCTCACACCTGTAATCCCAGCACTTTGAGAGGCCGAGGCAGGCAGATCACCTGAGGTCAGGAATTCAAGACCAGAATGACCAATATGATGAAACCCCATCTCAGCTAAAAATAGGAAAATTAGCCAGGCATGGTGACACGCACCTGTAGTCCCAACTACTCGGGAGGCTGAGGCAGGAGAATTGCTTGAACCCGGGAGGCGGAGGTTGCAGTGAGCCGAGATTGTACCACTGCACTCCAGCCTGGGCAATGAGAGCAAAACTCCGTCTCAAAAAAAAAACAAAAAAAGGCAGCCCCATTATTTAAATTATTAAAGGAATTGACGGAAGCGAGAGAAGAGCAAGAGGAATGTAGATAAATCTGCTCCTTCAAAAGACTGCGGATCAGAAGCCCATGCCTCACGCGGACACTGGCCATGACACCTACAAAGACCTGGTCGATGTCCTTCCTGATGTCGGCAACAATCTGGGCGCTGTCGCTCCGCGCTACAACCGCATCCAGGGAGTGCTGCTGAATGGACTCCAGGAGGCGGGCGGGGTGCCCCAGGCGCAGGATCCGCTGCTTACACAGAGCCAGGCGCTCCACCAGATTGTCCACGGCGATGTTGGAGGGGGCGCAGCACAGAACCTGGGAACCGCAAGTTAGGATTTGGTCATTTACTTTGTAATTAAACCACTGACATTGACACTAAAACAACGAAAAGCCTTAAAGGTAGAGAGAAGGGCAGGGCAGGCACACGCGTGCACTCAATCAAACCTTGCATTCATTTTCCAAACCCACGTGTGATCCGACTCTTCCGGGACACCAAGGCAAGAACCCGGGCTACAGAAAGCCCTCTGTCCTTGTGATAAGGAAGGGATCTAATTGAACCGGTTAACATAAGCCGCCTACAGACGGCAAACTGAGAGAGCACCCTGTAACACACAGAGCGGTAAACATCCACCCTGAGACGCTGTCATGAAGTCGCAGCCCCACAGCCTGCCTGTCTGTATGCTTCCCCAGAGGTGTGAGCAGCGGGGCACTGAAGAAGCGAGCCACTCCCCATCACACACCCTGAGACGGGGACAAGGGAACTTCCCGTTTCAAATGGACTCAGAGTTGTCTCCCGAACCTCCACTATATTTTTCTTTTTTTCTTTTTTTTTTTCTTTTTTTTTTTTTTTTTTTTTTTTTGAGACAAGGTCTTGCTGTATGGCCCAGGCTGGAGTGCAGTGGCAGGATCATGGAGAAACCGGCTCAAGAGTTCCAGACAGTTGTTTTTGGATAAAGTGAAATTGACCATCTGCTGTTAAAGCTTTGAACTTATTTATATGAGTTCCTTCCTCAGAAAAGGACATTTAGGCCTCTCAAAAAAGTATCAAAGATCTGAAAATCACCAGACCACTACAGGTGCCTCCTTGCCCTTCCTAGTTCCTATTTTTTACACATTGCTACATTTCTTCTCTTCTATATAAACCCCTAGTTTTAGTCAGTCAGGGAGATGGGTTTGAGGATAAGTTCCCATCTCCTTGGCTGCACCATCTGATTAAAGCCTCTTCCTTGGCAATACTCATCCTCAGTAACTGGCTTTCTGTGTGGCGAGCAGCAAGACCTAGACCATGCTGCTGGTGTTTCGTGACTTCCTGGGCTCAAGCTATCTTCCTGGCTCAGCCTCCCAAGTAGCTGAGACTGCAGGCATGCATCACCATGCCCAGCTAATTTTTTCTATTTTTTGTAGAGAATGGGTCTTGCTATGTTGCTCAGGCTGACCTCAAACTCCTGGCTTCAAGTGATCCGCCTTGGCCTCCCAAAGTGCTAGGATAACAGACATGAGCCACCGCGCCTGGCCACAGCTCCACTATTAAAAGTGAGATGTTGGCCAGGTGCGGTGGCTCGTGCCTGTAATCCCAGCACTTTGGGAGGCCAAGGCGTGAGGTCAAGAGTTCAAGACCACCCTCGACAACACAGTGAGATCCCACCTCTGGGGGGAAAAAAAAAGAGGAGGTGGCAACCAGCAGAGAAGGCAGAGAGAGTCCCTACAGACCCTTAAGCTCAAGACAAACAGCAGCTCAGGAAGGAGGCTCAGACACCCACTCCCCACGCCTGGCATCACCTCCCAAGGCACATCTCCACAGAAGCAAGCACATAGGTGTGTCTTGGCTCACTTTTAGTGAATAGTCAGCACCCAAGTAAAACCACCAATCTGCTCCCTTTCAATAAGTCATCTTTTCTTACCAGTTTTCGAACATGTGCAAAGACACTCATTCATAGGAAAACCATTGGACATAATCTTTTAAGCAAGTGGCAGGCTTCCCTGCAGCTCTGCCCAAGTTCCACTGCTGGCTCTGCCACTTTGAGTGCTGGGCACTTGACCTTTTTCAGTTTCCTCGTCTTTTTTTTTTTTGGAGATGGAGTTCGCTCTTGTTGCCCAGGCTGGAGGTGCGATGGTGTGATCTCGGCTCACTGCCTCGCGCTTCCTGGGTTCAAGAGATTCTCCGGCCTCAGCTTCTGAGTTAGCTGGGATTACAGGTGGCCGCCACCACGGACGCCAGCTAATTATTTCTGTATTTTAGTAGAGACGGGGTTTCACCTGTTAGCGAGGCTGGCCTCGAACTCCTGACCTCAGGTGTCCCACCCGCCTCGGCCTCCCAAAGTGCTGAGAATACAGGCATGAGCCACCGCGCCCGGCCTCCTCGTCTACAAATTGGGGCCACTAACCACTTGCCTTGGCACAAGGTTTCAGTGAGGATTAAAAGGGTGCTCAGAAGGATGCCTGGTGATAGGCGGCACCCAGTAAACGTCCACCTACAAAACTGGCCATTATTCCAATTCTCATCATTATCCAACATTTTTATAAACCAGAAAGGTTTTTCAAAAAGCTCTCCATGTGCCAAGATCCATAATGACTCAAGCTGAGGCAGATGATGATAAAAGGTCCTTTCTCACTCCTTAAAAATGTAACTGGGCCAGGCACGGCGGCTCATGCCTGTAATTGCAGCACTTTGGGAGGCCGAGGCAGGCGGATCACCTGAAGTCAGGAGTTTGAGACTAGACTGGCCAAGGTGGTGAAACTCCATCTCTACTAAAAATACAAAAATTAGCCAGGCATGGTGGCGCGCACCTATAATCCCAGCTACTCGGGAGGCTGAGGTAGGAGAATCACTTGAACCCGGAATGTGGAGGTTGCAGGGAGCCAAGATCCCGCCACTGCACTCCACACTCCAGCCTGGGTGACAGAGTGAGACTCCGTCTCAAAAAAATAAAAATAAAAATAAATTAAAAACGTAAGTGAATAATAATGTACAGTATTATATTCCACATCTCAGAAAATCAGTCATCTGTGCACTAGACATGTGCATCATATCCATTAACCAGACTATCTGATTAGCCGTTAACGCCTCAACCAGAAGCTGAGTTCCTGATGGGCACAGACCAGGCCAGGGCCAACTCCAGGCCCCTGCATTGGCCTGCACACGGAGGAGCGCGAGCACAGCAAGCATGGTGAGCAAATAAACCCCGGACCAAGGCCTGGCCCACACTAAGGCTGCCACGCCTCAGAGGGCTCCAGGAGCCTTTCTCAACAACCCAGGCTGTGGTGCCTATGCGTGCTCCCCAAGACTCACGGGGCTGCTGGAAACCAAACAGGGCCAGGCCAACGCTCCACCAATAAATGCTCAGCAATGTTCTCAACCCGTCCCGCCAGAACTGAGGCTGGAAGGCCGCTGAGCACCCACTGAACACAACAGACCAGGAGCTGACGGGCTCTGACAGGGAAGTGGTGTGCACTGCCCACCTTTAAGCCTTGTTTCACAGCTTGAAGAATTATCTCAACCACAGTCGTGGTTTTCCCAGTGCCAGGAGGTCCGTGGATGATGGCAAGTTCTTTCTGCGACAGCGCAAATGAAACCGCTTCTTTCTGGGAGGCATCCAAGGAGGTGTTGAAGAATGTCAGCGGGTCTGTGGAAGGAGAGCAGTGTGAGACTCAGGAGCTCTGGGGAGCTCTGTGACTGTTCCTCCTCACAGAGTGTGCGCCCCCGGGGATGAGTGATGCCTGTCAGGAACATACTGGACCTCCCCAGGGGCAATCCAATCAACACAAAATTAAGTCCGCTTTATTTTCACAAGGTTTCTCCTTCAACAGGGATCGGCAAACTATGGGCCACATCCAGTCGGCTGCCTGTTTTGGTCAGTTTCACTGGAGCACAGCCACGCCCATTCATTTACATACCATCTACAGCTGGCTGCTGCTATGACATGGCCGACAAAGTCTAAACATTCCATTGATGAGGAGCACCTCGTAATAGCAATAGTGATGTTTGCTGACCCTGACTTGTGAGACTGGAAGGCCAACATGGAGGATGGGCAGGGTGTGGAGCTAGTAACAGGCCATGCGAACC